AAATATTAGAAGGCCATCGTGTTATGTTGCGCTATTCGAAATCTTGCCGTGGTCTGAAGACAGCGCCGTTTTTTTTCGACTTAAATTTTCGGGAACAAGTACATAACTGTTTTGATCACAGTGTGCAACGTTGATAGAACCGGATAGGAACTGGAATGGTCAGTCGTTATTGGAATGCTCTAATTTAACAAGGCTTGAAACCTTAAATGACGTTATCGTAGGGCTATGTAACAAAATGTGGTGTTTTACCGACCACATGCTTTCGAAAAATCGAAATAATTCACATCCACCGAATCCGCTTACTCTACTATTGGGGTTCATTTACCTTCCCTTAAACACGAATCAAATTGGAGAAATGGAAACGCTTTTGCCTGAACCCAATTATGAGTCGTCCGAAACGACTTGTGTTTACCTGTGATCCATCAGAGATTCTGCCAAAATGGACTCCATGACTTTTGACAGCACGGAAAGCGGAGTTTCAGGGGGGCATTTTGCGATGTCACTAAGATAGCTACCTTTGTATACTGGTACGAGAAATACTATTTCCACGATTGTTTGAAATTTGATTGGTCGGGCGGAACGGGATAGCTACTTGATCGGAGCAAAGCCTTTGCAATTCGACGTAACACGTTTTGTTCTCGCAAGAGCTTTGGATTTTACTAGCATATTATCCATGGATATACCTTTGTATCAATTACGGTGATATCAATGATAACTTACAAAGCGCTCAGTTTAGTGGTCCGTGTTTTTCTGTTTCTCATTCGGCCGCCGAGGGTTCCAAGGCTCCAGGTTTGGGACGCGTAAATTTGGCTGTAATTGATCCGGACCCCGGGATTTACATTATGCCTCGGGTAAAAGTGGTTCCGGTGGAACCGTGCAATTTGAACGTGCGTGCGGTTGGGGGTGTGTCACTGAGAGTCCTGGGTAAACAATGTGTCGGTGTGCGGATTGGTGGGGTGACCGTTACTCATGAGATGGTCCTAATAGAAGATGCAAGTAAGGTTATAATCGGTGTCGATCTGCTCAGGCGCGTGGATGCGAAGAGTGATTTCGTAGGAGGTAAATTGCTCGTAGGATCGCAAGCACAGGAATGACGCTCAGGAAAACAAACGCATTCTCTCGTCAGCGTTGTAAAGAAATTGGCCTAGCCGCCTGCTCACATTCGCCAAAGAGAAGTACTTGACCACTGATAAAAAGTGCTTGGCGATCGTGTGGGCATTAGACAAATGACAAACGCATTTGATTGCGAACACGTTCCACATCAAGACAGACCACAAACCCCACATTGCGCTCCGTTTAATTTTCGTGCAAGAATCCGTGGAATGTATATCAACCAACCCTCCTCACATTACAGTTACAGTTACACACACCGGTTCCATGGGACGCAGCAAACATGTGGCTACCGCATGATTTGGACAGTTTACATATTTTCAAGATTTGCGACAGGGGATCTACAACTTAATATACTATGGACAGCCCGTACCACCGTGGAATCTGAGCCCCTGTAGGAGGAACCCGCTCAATTGTTGCATTATTTATAGAGTACTGTCTTTACGGTTTCCCTAATGTGGTAGAAAGGGCCTTCTCTATTTCGGGTGTATTGTCGCTTGCGAATCATCATTCAAAATAGCCTTCATTTTCCTGTCGTAATCTTATTTATTATTCAAGACGATACCAGATCCGTTATTTAGTTTCTTATGAGAGCTTCCGTGTTTCTTTGTAAATCAATTGGTTGAATTAGCGTTTTTCCATTATTATTTCCTCAGGCGATGACTTGACACTGAGATATTGATAACATGTGTTCTACAGAGTATACCTAAGCTATTCCTCTTCTAAACGAGAGGAGGGTGACAAGTCAGATGACTCAGCACAAAGACTTTTAACTTCGACCTGCATATTTAATTGCTTGAATTTTTCCCCGGACAACAGAACTTTGGCCTCAGGGGTAATACTACGATGGAAGGTGATACAAAGAGAGCCCCGACTACCGAACAAATGAAGAATAGCGCTGATCCAACCAGATGCGAAGACGAAGTGGCTGAAACTACTTCGTGAGACAATGTTGACTACCAATCGAAACGAACGAATCGACAATCACTGCCCGATGGACAACCCACATCTAGCGAAAAATGTATCCACCAAATACCACAAAGTCGGAGCTGTCGACCAAAATATCTAGCTCTGCGATCGGGACAAACCAGTCGGAACGGCACGCGGAAGAAGAGGGAAGGTACGTTCCAAGTAAGTACCAAAGCCAACATAGATGGACCAACAGAATGATGCATGAATCATCTTGCTGCGCGGTTGAGAATACATTGAATGTAATCGAACGCATACACCGGTGTTTTTTTTTGGATTGGATCAATAAACATTTCGCCAGCCGAACTGTCTTCTCGTTAACACACTTCAATCAATATTTTGTCTCAATTGTATCAGAAAAGTTGTGGACGATTCCATACGGATTCGTTGAGAAGGTGTCGGGCTATGCTTACGTTCTACTTGCTTGTGCGAAATCGATTGGAAGTTAACCTCAAATGAAGACCGTTTGCGAACTAAATCTTGTCTTTACAGAATTGCATGTGGATGGGAAAAGTGGCATATCCAATTAACGAGGTACATTGTATCGAAACTACACAATATGCCAACCGCATGGCTCATTGACCCATGAAACAAACTCGATCCATACTATGCAGTACTATTCATTAACTGCTTCACATCGCTCTAGGCATGATAAATGTTCGAGGCACGAATGCAATACTGGATGAAATTTATGGTCCTGTCGACAGATTACAGAGTGAAGAGGATACAGCATCGGTCACGTTGCAATGTGGGTTCAACAAATGAACCGAAGGCGAAGCTATGTGGAATAAATATGAAACCTTTGGAAAATATACTGGCCGTTTTGTTACCAAGAGTATCCTTTGAAACTGTTCGTTATATTTTTTGTTATCGCTGGGGCTTTGGTTTTCTTCGTCACGTCTAACCTCTGGATATACGTTTCTGATGATGACGGTGACCTCAATGATTACCTTCAACGCATTATTTTAATATCCGTAAGCGCATCCGTTGCATATATCCACGAATCTTCGTTCCGTGATTTTTCTCGTTTTGTGAGAAATAACTAACAAACATTAACAGAAGTTCAAATGGTAAAGGGCTGAAAGAACCCGACAGCTTGAAATTCCAGTAGAGCACCGAAACCAGAAAAGCATTGGTTTTCCGATCATTCATTGTATCGTTGAATGTGTGCTGTATTCGCTCTAATCTTTCAGACATCTCTCTTCTGATTTGCTACGGGGAGTACTCCAAACGTTGCGTGCTAATTCTTCGAGAATCTTGGTTCAGATCGAAGGCTTCCATTTATTTCCTGCAGAGAGACCTCCAGGATGGAGAACTAAACGTGTCGGCGTCATCACATATGTGCACCGGTGATGTTGTAACTTTACCAAATGCATATTCAATCACTGCACACAAAAAATTCCTTGTAATTCTGTGGAATGTAAATCAAGCTTTCTCCTGCTGTGACACTCATCGATCATCTTTTCAAAACGAATCATCACTCCCAACTTTACTCCTAGTGAGTTGTCTGCATTCCTGGATATATTCTATCACTTCATATTGTGACATCTGTGTTCGTCCCTGCTGATGATTTCAAAAGATCGAATATGCTTTTGCTGGTGTCCCTTCAGAACATTGTTACATTTTTCACTAAAAACATACGCCTCCTTGAATCACTTTTCGTTACCGAAGTATCATTTTTCCGTACCTTCAAACGTGCACCACTGGTTCTTTCTAATTAACGTTTCACCCACAGTATACGGTTATTGCAAGCAACAGATCCTCACGAAGAACAACGCAAGTAGGACATGTATACGACAAATTCATCTGGTCAAATGCACAAAATTAAAATCTGTGATTGTCGGTACGAACCTATCTCAATCAATTGTATATTGGATCCGTGCTGGGAGACAAATGCTGCCATCAGCTATAAAACGGACCGAACTTGCATTGTGGTCTTTCAACTTCAGCCACTACAGTCTGATGTTATATTGATGAGCTCAATAAATCTTTCGCATCCGTGGAAAACTTTGTACAATCTTTACCGAGTCCAAACACAACGTCACTTGATTTCCACCTTCCTGTTGCTGTCAAAACAGACCAAGTATTGGATGAGTTAAATGCTATCAATCGACATAAATACACTAGTCCTGATGGGTTATCCCCAATGGATCTAAAATCATTCACTAACCACAAACAGATTCATCCATATTCAGTACATACCTGTCAGATTGAAGACTAGTAACCATATGGTATGATGTTTGCATCACTTGAGTATCTTATTGGCATTCGGTATGAAGACAACCGTGGGTGAAATATATCCTACCGATCTCTACTTAATTCCTAATCGAGCACACAGTACGGAGTTATCATTGCTTGTGGGATGGTGGATAACTGTAACTCATTCTTGTCACCACCTCTCTCATACACTAAACTGTAAAGATCGCACAAATATAATCAGTGTGTGAAAGGATGCTACGGATTGAGCAGTGATATAATGAAGATTAGAACCTAGGCGGTGAAGCTGAGTAGCGAACAAATTGCTGTCATTGCCATTGTGGATTGAATGCCTTAATCAGCCACGGAATGACAGAAAAATATGATTTATGTAAGCTAATGAATAGGTTCCCACAATTCAGGTGACACACTGTCACTTCTTTCGCCATTTGTTACCATTGTTAGGGATATTATCAAGTGTATATTGCAATGTCAGAAATATTTAGCCAATTGCATTTGACTCAAAGGACTGTGTTTTATTTAAGAGAAAATTGGCCTCAATGGATTTTATTCATCAGGGTTATTGACGACTCCACTCACGCAATTGATCATGCTGACATTCACGTCTGGTTGGAGTGACCGAATTATCGATACATCTTGACGTGTGCGCTTCCTTATCCGACCGTAAGAGGTAAAATAACTCTGGTTTCAAAAGGGAATTCGTCGTGTATATAGCAAATAAAGTGTGAACTGAAAAGGTCAGAAGGACTGGACAGCTGTTTCGACCTGGTTGGGTCTCATCAG